ATGATATGTGACCTCTAATACTTTGAAAGTTCTTAAAAGTCACATTCAGTTTTACTTTTCCATTTCCCTATTCTGAATTTAAGGTATATTGATACAAGGGCATGAATATAATGTGAAAAAATGACAGTATCACTGATATTGTTGCACTTAATATTGTTTTGTAACTTACCCCTACTTGTAGTTTTTCCTATCTTGATTCCTTCTAACTATATTCTTTTGTATTAGGTTCAAATCATGAATCTTACAGTTATTTGACCAAAAGTCACTTACTTTTTAAAGCCTTAGTTAACTCATCTATAAAATCAAAACAATACAAGTACTGCTTCATGGGATTATTGGGAGGATTAAATGAAAAAATTTCAATCAAGCACTCCTACTTATTGAGAATATTCAGTAAATGGGCTACTATTATTATTTAATACAATTATTTGGTAATGGATTCTGTGTTGATCAATTACGCTCATATTTCCTGTTTCAGCATTTATAATCACAAAATGGTGATAATTCCTACCACAGATTTACTGCATACATGGTACCTACTGTGTGCCAGGAAATCAGTAGTAAACAAAAAGCATACTAGTTGTGGAGCTCATGTATTGGTAAGGAGAGATCTTAATTAGATCAAGTGATTCTGCTGACAACCACTGTAGGTCAGCAAAGGACTGTAAAGAAACAACACTTTCTCTTTGCTTTTTTTTTTATTTTGAACAACCCTGTCTATCTATATTTTTAATGGTATCTGTTTTTAACACTAAAAGCCAGTGAGAGAGATAAAGAAAAAAAAGGAGGGAAGGAGAAAAATTGGGAATAAAGCCCCAAAGACAGGCAGACAGAATTTTATTTTTCTCCTTTTTGAAACATGTGTTTATACTTCTCTTTCTGAGAACTTGGCCCTGACATTTGTGTGTAGGCAGTACTTCAGTATCATGAGGCATAAAATCAGACTCAACATAGTTATGTGTAAAAAGTCAATTTCGTGTGACCTGCATGAAACAGCAAAGTGACTTTGGGGAATACATTTAGGGATTCTAATGAGTAGGGTTATGTGTACTCTATTATTTATAAAATCCTTCCCCTCTTTTAATTTCCATCCTCTCTGTTAAGGTAACAGAGTTTGGGTTAATATTGTAATAAGTTATTTTACTTTAGTGTTGTGTATCACACGTCCCCTCTAAATATTAAAATAGCTTACATGGCTCTACATTATCTGGCCTTATCTCTTATCACCTTCCTAGAGCCTCACTCAGCTCCTGATTCTATGCTGATCTTTATATATCTTAACTATTATTGTGCCTCAGAAGCAAGGAAAAAAAAAAGATTTATTGATGATTTTTCCAGACACTGTGAGAGACCTTTTCCTACTTGTGTGATTATATCACTTCACATGTAGAGTTAAAAATCTTAAATAGTATACACTTTCCCCTCTTTTTCTAAGTGCTATTGTTGTCTTACATATTATTTCTATATTGTTATAAACACTATAATACTAACATATTTTGCATTAGTTACCTTTTTAAAAGTTAAAAGTTTCTTAAAGTAATAAAAAAGGATGTGCTTTGTATCTTTCATGTGACTACCAGTGTGTTGTGCAGATCTGTATTTTTGCTTAAATTTTATTCTTCTGTGTGAAGAACTTCCTTTAACTTTTCTTTTGGTTTGAAGCTGTTTGAGCTAACTTCTTTCAACTCTTGTTTGTGTGAAAAAATCTATTTTTTTTCTTTTTGAAAAATATTTTCTCACGTGGGTATAGAATTCTAGATTGACATATTTTAGAGTAGTTGCCATCTTTATCTTTATTCTGTTGTTGTGTGTCTTTTGTTTCCCTCAAAGTTTTTGAGATGTTCTGGCTTTGGCTCATTTGTTTGTGATGTCCCCTCTTGTACTTTTCATTACATTTATTAGCTTGATTTTTGTTGAATTTATGTTTATGGGTTTCAACAAATTTGGAAAGTGTTTTGCAATTAGTTTTTGTTCATGCATATTAATTATTCAGAATTGTGAGTTACATTTGGCATATTACTTCATGCACATAACATACTTCAGTAATTTTTATCCTTGCATTATACCCCTTACTTTTCCTTATCCCTTATTCCTTTTTGTTAATTGTCTCTCCTGTACTTTCTTTTTTAAAATAATTTTATTGAGAAACAAATAGCAGAGAGACAGTTTCAAAACCAATTAGTAGGACAGTTTTAATACTTAATACCTTGCATATTATAGTCTTAGTGGTTATTCTCCCCTATACTTTCATGGTATCTCTTTTTTTTATAGATTACACATAGGAGAGAAAATGGGACACTGGTCTTTCTAAGTTTGGCTTATTTCACTCAACATCTTCAATTCCATCCATTTTCCTGAAAAAGATATGATTTCATTTTTCTGTATGGCTTTTACATATTCCTTTAGTCACTGACAGGCATCTAGACTATTTCCATAGCTCAGCTATTGTGAATTCTGCCACAATAAACATGGGTGCACTGTATTTCCATAGTATGCTGATAATTTTTTGGGGGGGTGGGGGAAACAAACTAAAAGTGAAATAGCTAGTTTAAATGGTAGCTCTAATTTTAGTTTTTCAGGAACCTGCATGTTGATTTCCATTGTGGCTATACTAATTACATTTTTGTAACAGTGTATAATGTTTTCTGTTCCCACATCTTGCCTAGTACTTTTGGTTTGGTTTTTTTTTCCATAATGATTTCCTTTCTGACTGGGGTGAGAAGGAACTCATATTAGTTTTTATTTGCATTTCCCTGGTATCTTTGGGGAACAAAGTTCATGAATATTTTTTCATGTATCTATTGACTATATTTCTTTAGAGAAATGTCTGTTCAATTTCTTTGCCCATCTACTAATTGAATTATTTGATATTAATCCTATATTGGAAGAATAGCTAGTGTGATGTATTAACTAATGGGCAACTTGTAAAGCCCAGCTGAATTCAATCAGCGTGGTGCTGGATGTGCAAGGTTTACCTGAGGATTGTTGCCAACAGCACAAAAGGAAAAGATGGCACACTGTCAGTTCTCCTAGAGAAACTTGTCCAGCTGGTTTCCTGATAGGAATTTGGCTGTTCTCATCATTGGAGGGTCTCTAGTCCTCTGTGTCACCGTTGCTGATAATGGCTGTGGTCTGAGGCAGATCCTCCGCCTGGTGGCACAGATCCTTCATCCTGCTGGTGCACTTGCTGAATTTATTCATCATATCTAAATGCCTTCTGGTGTAAGTCTTAGTGTATTCTAGGTTAAAAAAATCAGTGTCTGCAAATCATTTGACTTGTTCTTTTCCTATTTGTATTCCTTTTATTTCTTACTCTTGCCAAATTTTAGCAGTCATTTCTTGAAATATTTTTTCACTCACCAGCTTTTGTTCTGTAGCACTCTGATTATGTTAATAGCTTGGCATTGTCTCACAAATCTTTTCCTCTTTCATTTTTCTTCATTCCTTATTATTTTCATGTTTAATTTTGAGCACTATTACCTGTCTTCAAATTCATCGCTCTTCTGAAGTGTTTCATTCTCTCCACCAACCCAGTGTATATTTCATTATAAGGCTCTTAGATTGTATCCCTAGAAGCTACATGTAATTCTTTAAAATAGTGGGGTTTCTTTCATTTTATTTTAATTTTTTTGTACAGGGTCTCACTAGGCAGCTCAAACACACGGTGATCCTCCTGTTTTCAGCCTCCCCAGAGCCACCACTCCTGGACTCATAGTTATTTGATTTTTTTACCCCATCATATCCATATTTTGTAATGTGTGCATGTTAAGCCTGTACATACTTGCTGTTTAACATTCTTGCATTAGTTGTATAATTCCTATCTACATCCATTTATTAAGGTTTTTGGTGATGATATCTTAGTTTTATACTTGATTGTAAAAATTTACAGTGTTATATGGTAGATATCATTTTATTCCTGTAATGAATGTTTCACTTTACTCTAGCACTGAGAAATTATTTGGGATTGGTTTGACACCTTTGAAATTTCTTTTTAGCTTTTTGGATGGGCACAGAGCAGCTCATAAATTAGGACTAATTGAGGCCAGCTACAGTGATGCAGTGCCCTTCTCTGGCCTCTAACTCCATCTGTCATCTGCAGGGTTTACACCTAGCTGATAGGAGCGCAAACTGTCCTTATCCTGGAGTCATTCTCTCTCTGAGTTGTTGGGCCGCTGCTTTCTGGTGGTTCTTCCCTAGCCTCAAGCAGTTTCCTATGTCTGCCACAGACTCAGCCAAAGCTCATTGAACTTCTTTAGAGCTACTGCAGCCTGCTCTCTGTACAGCTCTCACCATTCTTGAGTGTTTGAAAATTCCAGCCACGTTGGCCTCCCTGCACCTCAGTCTTAGCTCTTCAGTGCAGCGGGAATGTTAAGCTCTACCTGTCCTCTATGTCTCTCCTGTCCGGAAACTGCTCAAAGTCAGTAAGCTGGAGCAATTATGTGGCTTACTTCATTTGTTTCCCTTCTCCCAAAGATTGTAGTATTGTGATAATTGTCATCCCATGTCTGAAAACTGTTGTCTAGTTTCTAGATATTTAATGGGAAAAAATAAGTCTGGCCCTTGTTTTTCCTTTTTGCTAGAATGCATTGTGAGTTTTAAAAGGTTCTTTAGCAGGAAAACTTGGTTATTTACAATTTTAGGAATGTTAATTTGACAGCAGTGTGTTCAAAGAGAGTCTTTAAAAGATGATATACTTGAGGATAATTCAGATAATGAAAGCATTAAGTGGTAAAGTGTTAGATTAAAATGATAAGAATGACAGTAATGGAACATATCTAAAAATAGGTTCACAGGAAAAGTGGGCAGAACTTGGAATCAGCTTAGAGTGTAGGATATGAGTGGAACACAAGTCAAAGGTGACTTCAGCACTGTGACATTAAATGCTAATAGTAATATTCTGTATTAGAGGTGAGACATTCTGTGGCACAATTAAAAGAAGAAGGGTGAATAGTACTAAATTGTACTGACTCATTTATGTTTTTCTATGTTATATATCATAGGAAATGGTGACAGAAATGTATTCTGGCTCTTGTGTAGCAATGGAGATTCAACAGAATAATCCTACAAAGACATTTCGAGAATTCTGTGGACCTGCTGATCCTGTAAGTTATTTTAAAGTATCAGTGTATTTGTGGTGTCCATCCACTATCTTAAAATGTTTATATTTTTAGTTCTTGAAAAGGAATAATATAAAAATAGAAAGGCATAGCAATATTTATTCAAAACAATATTTTATATACTGTATTCATATTATTCCAAGACACAGCATTTTTATAAGCCTTGTGCAATGCAGAAGAGCATCACTTTTGAATTACAGCAAGCTTTTTACTTTTGAGGGAGCTAAAGCTCAGGCAGGAAATGACAGGATGAAGTCATTGGGGCAGAACTAGAGAATGAGCAGAGGTCAAGGAAGAGTCTTGAAAAGAAAAAGTACTGCTTCTCTTTCTAGATGTTTATTCAGTCATCATTTACCCAGTGAAGAGCATGTGTAAATCTCATTGCGAGGTCCTGTGGCTAGGGCATCGTAAGATTTTTCTAAGAGCTCATACTCTTAGGAGAGTTCAATTTAGAAACTCTTTTGGGATCCTGAATTTTGCTTTGTTCAGCATAGTTAGAATTAAGCTATTATGGTATTTTTTTTTCTTTTTAGTTGTTGTGAGCCTCCCATAGAATTATAAAGTCACATCATAGAGATTTCAAAATTTAAAACAGTGGTAATTGTCTTGGGGAGGTGGATTATAATAATATTTTAGTTATAATTTCCTGCATTATACAGATTTTCTTTGAATTATTTAAATTGCATTTATGGTAAGAATAATACTGTTTATCATGAGCATGAAAGTTAGTGTATTTTTAATTGAAGAGGTATATATTCCCTAGAAATGGTTCTCCTTTTGAATATGGGTCCTGAGTTATATACTGTTTTTCTGACAGATCAGAATGCCAAGCAGCACCACATGCTTCTGTTGATTGTTTTCAAATTGAGGAAATACAGTGATGTTTGCAGTCAAGTTATACTTTGAGAATAAAATGGCACTTTCCCAGTGGTCTCAGACTTTTGAAGTTCATCTGCTTACTCCCTGCTTTTCTTTCTCCCTTTTCTCCCTCCTCTTCAGTAAATAGGTATTTGCTAGTAACTATGCCAGGTATGTGTTAATGATCAAACAAATATAATGCTTATCTCTGGAGAACTTACAGTCTTGCTCTAGCAGAAAATAGAATTATTAGTTAACAAATAGCACTTTAAACTGCCAGGTGCACTTATCTAGTCATGTGTTAGTGTGTAATGATTTAGAACTTTGTGTCTTCACTATTTTGTCATTCCTACATCTAAAGAAAGACCCCTAGATTATAATACATGTAAATATAATTAGTGCTTGGAAGACTGCCATACTTTGTAATCATGCAATTCTGTTTGATGAATTAATGAGTAAATTGGCTCTGTTTTTATATACATCTAACATCTGGTGTTAACACCAGATTGCTTTAAGGCATTTTACCTACCAAAACTGGATCTTATGATTTTCATATAGCTATTTATCCATTGATTTGAAAGGTTCAGCCTAACATAAGTTGTTAAATCATGTTATAACTGTGTATGTTGCAAGTTGGTATAATTTCATCATTGATGACTGTGATAGTCACAGATTCTTCTTCTTTATGATCTTATGGTTGGTGAGAAACACTCATTATTTATGAATAAAATGTCTTCCAATCTCTAGAAGTGGTATCCAGAGAGGAGAGGGGAACAGCAGACAGTTCATTAGGGAAAGAGATGGAGGAAATTATTGCCTTAAATTTGCACTTTATCTAAAAAGTGGGAAAAAATGAGTCTGAGTAAAATATACTGTGTGGAGCTATAGGAGTAAATTTATGGTTTTCCTGCTGAACCATTAGGAAACTCAGTTACCAAAGGAGTAGTTAAACTGCATGCAAAAAATTGTGCAAAATATGTTTGCTCTTATACTGGTGAATCTGTGAAACAAAATAACCTAACATAGTGTATTAGTTAGGTTTGCATCTTTATAATTACTTACTTGAGTCAATTAACTTATTAAGATAAATAGCTTATTTAGCTCACAGTCCTGTAAGTTCCAGTGCAAGATCACATGGTTCCATTGCTTTGGGTCTCTGGTGAGAGTATAGGACAGACATGTGAGGCATTAGTGTCACAGTAAATAGCTCACAGGACAGGTCAGGAAGAAAGAGGATAGGCCAGCATCCCACCATCTCTTCTGACAATTGAGGACTTCTCACTAATGCTTTACCCTGTCATGGTCCACAATACTGCCTACTATCAGCACCACTGGAGGTCAGGTCTTTAGCTTATAGACTTCTGGAGGACACTGTCTATTTTCAAACTATATCATATAAATGTTTTATTTAAAAGGTGTTCCAATAACACTGTATGTAAATCTCATTTTGTGTTATTTTAATAATGTGTATTTAAAATGTGATTTGCATAAAGAGTTTCTCCTAAGGGAAATGATTTTTTCTTTTTTTTAAAATGTATTTGTTACAAGGTCTCACTACGCAGTTCAGACTCATAGTGGTCCTCCTGCTTTCAGCCTCCCAGCACTAGGATTACAGGTGGACACCACTAAACCTGGACTCTGTGGCCAGCTCAGCATGCCCTGGGGGGGGGCTGGTAAACCATGATCCCTGCACTTGTCTAAGCTTGCCGAAACAGGCTCTTAAGTCCACTGAGTTATCTTACTAGCCTGAAGTACTTTTTAAAGTGCATGTCTACCTCATCTGGTCTCATACTTTGAAAACTTATACCTCATTACAAAATCAGACTGAGTCAAACATTTTGCTATACAAAGTGTGGCTTTACAAGTAATACAGTTTTCCATTCATTTATTACTTAGTAACCTTTACCAATTTTAAAAACAGTAGATGTATCATAATGTTTGAGAAATGACATTGTTTCATCAGTATATAAATTGTGATAACTTAGAAAAGAAATTCTGGGAGCTGACGTTTACCATTTCTATCAGCTGTTAACTTCTTATGTGTATTCATTCCCTAAAGATTTTGAAGCCCTGGTCATGTTCTTTTTTTTTCTTTGTCCCAGTTTCTCCCATAAAGTTGAGCAATAAGAACTCCTTCTAACATTAGTCTATAATCATTCTACTTCTCAGTTGTCTTCCACAGGCATAACTGACTGACTTCCAGAGGAAATCGCCTGTGCAAACCTGATCTCTAATGTGGTCTGTCATATTTTCCAAGGCCTTTGCGCTACTCTTTTTTAATGTATTTTAGTACAGGGCTTACTGGGTCTCACTACACAAATTAGACTCATATGATCCTCCTTGTTCCCAAGTGCTGGTATTACAGGCACGCACCACCATGCCCAGTCTCAGTCGCCCTCTCAGTACACCCTGGGGTGGAGCTGGCAGAGCACACTGGGGATCAAACCCTGGTTGCTGCATGTGCCTCAGTAGGTGCCTTTGTGCTACTTTTTATTAAATGGTTTGTTTGTTGGATGGTTAGCTTTTGTATTACTGGAGATACAACCCTGAGCCTTCACACTAAGCTACAATTGCAACCCTTTTTTAGTTTTTATTTGAGACAGAGTTTAAACTAATTCCAAATTGGACTTGAATTTTCAGTCCTCCTGCTCAGTTTCCCAGAGTGTTGGGATTCTAGGCAGTTCCCACCATGCCTGGCTCCTGGGGTTTCTTGATTGTCTTTCACAGGTCACTTTGATTTGAATAAGACCTCCAGATTTAGAGGTTAGTAAGGGCCTTCCCTTTCTTGGCACTACTGCCACTAATGTTCTCCTGTATTTCTACTTAGATTGTACTCTTACCTCTTTCATCACACTTTTAATAGCATTCTCAGCTGTTGTTGTTACACTGGATTGAAACTAGGGGGCCAGCCAGATAGCTCAGTGTATTAAAGCACCTGCTTAGGCAGATGCAGGGACTGGGGTTCAATCCCTGGCCTGCCATGCTGGCCCTGCCCCCAGGGTGTGCTGAGATGGCGATTGAAACTGGGCATGGTGTCACGTGCTTGTAATCTGAGTGCTTGGGAGGCTGAAAAACAGCAAGGATCACTACAGGTCTGATCTGTGTAGTGAGACCCTGTAGACCCTATACTAAATACATTTTTTAAAAAAATGATGAGTGTGTCCTTGACTGGGCCCATCTCTCTCAGATATGAAGTCCTTGAAGCAATTTGGAACCTACGGTCTTTGCACTGAACTATGTCCTCAGCCTCTTATTTTTAACCTTGAGACAGGATCTCACTAAGTTGCTTAATTTCCGTCTGGGCTTGAGCTTGCTGTCTTCCTTTCTTGACCTCTCACAGTGCTGAAATTACAAGCCACTTTGTTCCTCTGTCATTCTTTTTACCCTTATACTTTGGATGCACCATAATAACTCTACCTTAGGTACTTTTAACCACCTTACTGAAGCAGTCCTATGCAGACTGGAAGCTTCCACTAAATGAAAGTTACACTTTTTGTGTACATTCATAATGATGCAAGTTATGCTGTCTCATCAAAGCTGGGCCAATACTGCTACCTAGAAATTGTTTTTAAAATCTATTTTTCTCTACTAATGCTCACAATTACTGTTGTATCTCCTCCTTATCTTATTTAACCTGTTTGTACTACTTTCATCATTTTGCCATAGAAAAAAGGCACTATCTCCTACTTCATAAAGCAAATGAAGCATGATTTCTTAACTTTCTGCTTTCATATAATTTATATAATTGTAAATCATACTCACCTTCTCACTTTAGTCATAGAAGAATATATTTTCCTTCTCTGTTAAGATTTTCTGCCCACTTTTTGTTCTCTCTTTATTTAAAAGCTTAGACAGTTTTCTAGATTTTGTTCTTAAGAGTAATTTTTTGGTTATAAACAGTAATGTATGATCACTGGAGAAAGAATAGAAATTAAATAAAGTTTACTAAAGAAAACATGTCATTATCCCCTTTGCCAAAGTTTCTGATATTGTAAATTGAGAGATAAATCAGTATGTACAAATTTAAAGAGCATAATAGATAACATAATATTGAGAGGGGTTATTTTTGCCTTTTTTTTTTACAGTACCAGGGATTAAACTCAGGACCTTGTGCTTGCCCGGCAGGA